AAGCTAACACACTTTCAGCTCCCTATACTTTCAGTCTTCTGAATATCAGGACTCTAGTGGCAGTGTGATGCTATCTCCTTGGGGTTTTGATAAATCTTCCTTTAATTACCTCTGCCATGTCTCTCCTTTTCATACAAATATTTGCTGTCATATGTCTTTGGTAAAGTCTTCAAATAATGTGCTCATTACTTTAAAAATCAATTTGTTTCTCTTATTATTATTGAGCTGCTTATGTTTGCTGGACACAAGTTCTTTATTAGATGTACGGTTCATAAGCACCCCCCCCAATGTGTGGTTTGTAATTTTCAGGTTTTTTTTTTTTTAACAGTTTTCTCTATAGGGACAAAGATAAAATCCAGTTTCTCTGATGTCTTGTCTGCAGGATTTTTGAGGAACTCAAGGTTATGGAGATTTTTTTACTTGTGACTTTATTTTATTTATCATATGAGCCTTCAGTGTAGGGCTAGTATGCCTTCTAAGTTAATTTGTACATATAATGGGGAATCTGTTGGTTTTTGAAAATATTTTTTAGTTCATCCCTTTATTCAAGTGTGTGAAGGGTAGTGTATGCGGACCTGCACACACCACAGTGTAACTGTGGAGGTCGGAGAAGAACTTGGGGGAATCAGTTCTTCTTTCCACCACGTGGATCCCAAGGATCAAACTCCACTCATCAGGCTTGGTGAAATACCTTTACCAATTGGCTCAAAAATTAGTTCTATGGTGATTGTTTTGTTTCATTTTTTCAATTTATGTATATGCAACTGCCTAGCATCATTTATTGAAAATATTCTTTTCCCCACTGGATTATTTTAGATATAGTACCAAAAATAAACTGACCTAGGTCGGGCATGGGGTCACTTGCCTATAATTCCATTACTAAGGAGGCTGAGGCAGGAGAGAGAGAGAGAGAGAGAGAGAGAGAGAGAGAGAGAGAGAGAGAGAGAGAAAGACGGATCTTATACTCAACTGTGTTCTCTCCCTTGTACTATTGACCTTCCTAAATGTTAGTGTCAAGATTCCACCTTGAGGTTAATGTAGCCTCACAGAAAATGTGTCAAGAACATGATCAAAATCAACCTGAGGGGATGAGAGAGGTTATTTGGCACATAGTTCCAGGTCACAGTTCATCATTGAGAGAAATTAGGGCGGGAATTCAAGCAGGAACTGAAGCAGAAACTATGGAGCAATGATACTTTGGCTCAGGCTTAGCTAGCCTTCTTATACAGCCAGAGACCCTCTTACTTCAGTTAGCAGTCAAAGAAATGTCCCCCAGACATGTCTACAGCGTACACTAACATTATAAAGACAATTACGCAACCGAGACTCTCTTTTCAGGTGATTCTAGACTGTGTCACATTGACAATCACTAGGACATTTGGTTTTTCTTCATACCATTATAATAAAACTAATGCATCCAGCCATTTACAGTGTGGGGATTTGTTCATTGAGTTCTTACAGCAACCTTAGAAAATATGTAGGTTTATAGTTATTTGCTAGCTTCAAGGCCTAGAGAGATTCTTAAGTTGACCAAGGTCACTTTCACCTGATAAGTAATAAGTTCACATTTTGAATGAACATGTCTAGGCACCAAGCATCCATGTACTACTTGATATTGATTTTATTTATTTTTATCTGCTATCAGACTCTAAACCAGGATATAACATCTGTATCCTTTGAATCAACACCTCACACATATTATTGGAGGGGCTGGAGATACAGCCAGTTGATAGAGTCTTTTCTAGCTCACAGAAAACTCTGAGTTTGATCCACAGTATTGCATAAACCAAATGTGGTAGTGCACACCTGTAATCCCAGCACTTGGAATGTGAAGGCAGGACTAAAAGTCACCCTTGGCCACGGTCATCCTCAACTAAGTAAAGAGTAAGTTGGAGGGCAGCTTGGGTTACATGAGACTCTGTATCAAAAAAAAAAAATTTTTAAAGGAGCGGGGCAAGGTGTTTGAATAAATTAAAGTGCTTGCTAGTAACCCTGTTGACCCAAGTTTGATTGCCAGGACCCACTTGGTGAATGGAAAACTGACTGTCAAAAGCTGTCCTTTGGCTTCCACACCAGCACAGTGGCATGTGTGCACACACATACACACGTCTACACACAAAGCAGATCAATTTAATAAAAATAATTTATGTTCTTATAAAAATAATTTAAAATTAAAAATAGGTGAAAGAAAAGGAAAGGAAGGGAAAGGAAAGGAGAGAAAGATGGAAGAATAAAAGAGAGAAGGAAGAAATCCTTGTGAGCCAGCACAGAATCTCTAGGTGGAGTGAACGGAGATTCGGTCCCTGTTCTGGTGTCTGAGGATGGGATCAGGCATGTTCTCAATATTGCCATCCTTCTGCAATCCTTGACACTCAAAAGCTTGGGCTGCTTTGGGGGACTCAGCAGCAGAGCTGAAAGGGCAGTAATGAAGCTCTGATGCTAATAAAGTCTGGGCCAGGGGCATTTTGCCCTAGTAGAGCAAGATCCATATTTCCAGGAGCCTCTGATGCCCTTTTCAACAGTCTCTTTACAGCTCATTGGTGGGTAATAAGTCTTGACCAGTATTGGTCTTTGACACAGGTAGTAAAATACAATCTAAAAAGTACCCAGTGGAGTATAAAAGTCAGCACCAGGACAGAGGGGATGATTTCCAATGTCATATCTTTCCCATCTTGGATCACCAGGTACAAGATCAAAGGGGCAAAGCATTTGCTCACCGGGCTAAATTATGAATTGGACAAAACCATATTATGTTTCCTAGATATGGAAACTCATAATAATTCTTTTAATAAAGTTTGGTTTGGGGGAAGTGATGCTTAAAATATGTAATAATACATAAAATATGTAATTTCTGGTTTGTATAATCATCAGTTTGAGAAGGACTTTGGGAAAAAACAGTAGTTGACTTAGGAGGTGAAGGCCTCAGAACAAAACAATATAGGCATGTCTGTACTCAGGGTGTTAGGCTAAAGAAGAGAAGACCATGACCATAATGGAGGGGCCAGCAAAATGGCTAAGCCTGATGACCCCTGTTCCACCCCTGAGAACCACACGGTGGAAGGAGAAGGAGAGAATGGATCTCCAATAAATTCTCCTCTGACATTTACATGTCTGCTGTGGTATGCATGTGACCCCCCAAACCCCACTACACACAGAGTGAGTGCAGTGAAAAATTAGCAGCCACCAAAAAGACCACAATGAAGGCGTGGAATTCCTCTTCAGATATTTGAATCAGTGTTTTTAGCATGCTGAGTGGGGTGGAGCCCCCTAAATAATATACACTTAAAGCTCCAAGACCTGAATTTATTTGGAAACAATTCTCCCTCTCCCTCCCTCCCTCCCTCCCTCCCTCCCTCCCTCCCTCCCTCCCTCCCTGTCTGTCTGTCTGTCTCTCTCTCCTCTCTCTCTCTCTCTCTCTCTCTCTCTCTCTCTCTCTCTCTCTCTCTCTCTCTCTCTCTCTCCTCTGTGTGTGTGTGTGTGTGTGTGTGCGCGCGCATGCGCGTGCATTGAGACTAAATGTCAATTCTGGGTGTTGTTCCTCAGGCTGTGTGTAGCTTGATTTTTGATACAGGACCTCTTACTGCTTGGAGTTCACCAGTCAGTTAGGCAGGCTGGCCAGCGAGCCCCAGTGATCAACTTGTCACATCTTCATAGCTCTGCCATTCCTAGTGCCCCATACCACCTGGTATTTCTTATGTGGATTCTGGGAATTGAACTCAGGTCCTAGTAAGCACTTTACTACTGAGGCATCTTTCCCGGTTCCATTTGAAATAACCTTTGATGATGTAAATTAGTTGGGGTGAGATCAATTTGGGTTAAAGTGAGACCTCAATCTAAATAGAGTTTTATAAGAAGAGGACAGATACAGAGACAAAGATTTAGGAAACCAGGAAGGTGAGTGCAGAAACATTGTTTGGCATGATACAGATAGGCACAGAATGCCACAGACTGCCAGGAGCCCCAAGAAGCTAAGGAGGGGCATGGGGAGCTCTCTCCTAGAGCCTTCAGCAAGCACCTTGTTTTCAGATGGCTCACGTGTAGAACAGTTGAGCTAGCCCATTTCTGGTGCTTTGAATTTTCTAGTTTATGATTATTGGTTTTGAAGTCCTTAGCAAGTGAATATGCCCTTTCATTTAAAGATTTGATTGTATTGTGTCTGTGTGTTTGTATATGCGAATGCAGTGCCTGAAGAAGCCAGAAGAGGGCAGTGGATCCCCTCTAGCTGGAGTTACAGGAAGTTGTGAGCTGCTCAGTGTAGGTACTAGGAAGCGAACTCAGGTCCTCTGCAAGAGCAGTGTGTGCCTTTAAAATCCTAGCTATCTCTCTAGCTCTGTTGGTATACTTTTGAAGTAGAGTTGGCTGAAGTTTTTCTAGCTTTCTAGAGTTAAGGGCAAGAGGAAGAAGGATCTAAATGGATTTTGTCAACAATACCTGAGGGGCTGTGGAAAGAGTTGCTATCTGCCCAAGTGCCCAGCAGTTCACTGGAACTGCAGAATGGCCTATTCTGTGGTAAAAAGTAATTTCCAGACTTCCATGGATATTGTAGTCAGTGATCTCACAGAACACTTCCAGCATAAATACTTTGTATAACAAATAAAGAAAGATCTCTACACTTAGCTCTAAAATATATAAGCAATCAGGATAGCAAGATGGCTCAGTGGGTAAAGGCATTTGCCACCAGGCTTGGTGACCTCAGTTTGATTCCTGCGACCTACATAGTGTAGGTCATAAAAGGAGGGAACCGATTCTTACAAGTTGTCATCTGACCTCAGTGTGTAGCCATTCTCTCTCCCTCTCTCTCTCTCTCTCTCTCTCTCTCTCTCTCTCTCTCTCTCTCTCTCTCTCCCTCTCTCTCTCTCAAAAACACACAAGCACAATCCATGTATTTTTGAATAAATAAAACAAATATATAAATTATACTTTCCTCAAAGTGTCATAGAATAACCAGAAGACTTTGATCAGACGCATTTGGAACATTAAATGATTTTCCTTTCTCATAGGCACCACTAAAGTTAACCCGCTCTGGGCCGTCAGTTAAGTATTTGATGTACTGACACGAGGACCTGAGTTCTATTGCCACTTCCCATGTAAAGGAGGTCAGGATGGTGATACAGGCTTGGAGTCCAAGCTCTGGGGAACTGCAGGCTCACGGTCATCCAGCTTAACCAACTGGTAAGTTCCAGGCAAAAGTGAGAGATTTTGTTCCCCAAACAATAAAAGTGGTGGTTATCCCAGTGAATGATACTGAAGACTAAACCCCAATCTACCTCCACCCTACAGCTCCATGTACAAAAACTAAACATTAACCCACTGTGAATGGTTTTTCTTACAGTAAGTAAAAAAGTGATCATGTGTCTTATAAAAGATGATTTTGTCTAGAAATTTTGATGTTGTGCTATTTTATGTATTTCTGTTACAGAACATATAAACCTGCTACCCCCTGCTTTTATGGGAAATGACTGCTATGACCAGACACCATCCTGGAGAATCTCTTTGTAGATTTAATGTTGCCCTTAAATTTCTCACAGCTTTCTGTATCTACATGGTTTGAAAGATATCCTTGGAGACATTTTTCTCCAAAAATACCTTAAGGAAATAGGATAAATTGGGGCTTATCCAATTGATTTAATAGATTTTAGCAGATGTGACAATGGTAGAAGCTTAGGTTTCAGAATACACGATTAGACAGTCATGTCCTTTGCATTTCTGTCTCTTTGGTCAGGCATTGGCTAATCCAATGGTCCGAGGAAGACAGCAAGTGTGTGGACATGGATGTTTTGGCACTAAGTCACAACTGAGAAAGCCAAGCTACACCATCCTCCAAGTCTCAGAAACCATGCTGACATACAATTGAGATGGATTGTGGCTTGTTTCATTCCACAGAAGCTTGCTGTACAGAATTAATTTGGCAATAACAACTTTGTCAAGATACTAAGAGAATAAATTGAATGACATTATGGTCCTATACATCCTAAAATACCTCTTGTAGACATACCTCACTTGAATTCAAAAAGCCCAGTGCAGAGGACTTGGCTAACCCATTTTTATCCACCTCAAATGTGTTATTCCAGCTTGGGTGTAGGGCAAATTCTGCAGTCAGTCTGATATTGATTCTCCATTCTTCCTCACTAAGAAAACTCCAACATTGTTTGGTGGAAGCAATGTACCAAGTTAAAAATAGCTCCCTGACTCCCTTGACATTCAGTTTTGTGAAACCGGCCAACTTCTGAAGAGAAAAGTGATAGCCACCTGCTGAAATGACTGAACAGAGCAAGAGAAGCCAGAACTTGGATGAAACAGTGTGTCCCTTTGTGTTATGAGAGTTGGAATAAGTCATTGATTAGTTACCACCCTTGTTGCTGCATTAAAACACACAACAGAACTTACTTATGAAAGAGAGGGTTTATTTTGGCTTATAGTTTTAAGGCTTACAGTCTATCACAGTGGGGAAGAAATGGAGGCAGGGCATGAGGCAAAGGATCAAATTTCATCTGCAGTCAGGGAACAGAGATGGGTGCTAGTGCTCAGCTCACTTTCTCCTTTTTACTTATTTTAGGACTCCAGCCTGTGGGATGGTGCTGCCCACGTTTTATGGTGGGTCTATCCACCTCAGTTAATCCAGTGTAGAAACTTCCTCACAAAGGTTTGTCTCCTAGGTGGTCTCTGACTTTACCAAGTTGACAATGTTAACAATTATGGGTCCTATTCTCACTTCTGTTGCCTCAAAAGCACATGCATTTTAACTAGTACTGAAGTTCGATGTTCAGTAGGGGTTAGTCAGTTATGGGATACATATTATACAATTAACCAAGGAGGAGCAGGTAGGCTTTTGGTAGTGAGCACCCAGATATTAGAAGAAGGTGTCCCTTTCATGCAGAATGTTTCCTTTTAAGATTTATTTTTGTCCTAGTTGTGTGCATACATGTGTGTGCATACATGTGCATGTGAGTTCAATGTTTACAGAAGCCAGAGGCACTGGAGACCCCAGGAGCTTGTGAGCCACCCGATGTGGGTGTTGGGGATCAAACTGGGGTCCTTTGCTTGAACAGTATGTTCTCTTAACCAATAAACCATCTCTCCAGCCATTGCAGAAGGTTTTCTGTTTGTTTTTAACATGAAGCAACTGTAGCTTTGTCAAGGGAGGGGACAGTGTTCTCTGCCTGTGGCCTGCAGTCTAAACTGACTCACAGACCCATAACATGCAGCCCGAGTCTCAAATGCAAGTCATTATAAGCTCTGCTTTGAGGTTCTATGAAGTGACAGGAGCTTAAATTGTGGTCTTGGCCTTTCCCAGGCACCGTCTCTTACCGTGCTTTCTGCTGGAAGTTAACTGGGAGGCAAAGGGCTGCTTTCTGAATCAAGTCCATTCCGTGCTGCTTCAAAGTAATTACTCGTAACTAAGTCAAGGATTCAGGGAGGGTCACAGTTCACAAACGGGTTGATAAAATGTGTAATTCCTTGGGTTAAAAGCCTGATCATGGAAGAGGACACCCACGCACAGCATGCAACTTAGGCGGTTTTAGATAAAATCAAAGAAAATGGAAGGCAGAGCTATGCTCAGCTCTTGTCTCCTCTTGAATTTCTGACTTCAGAACATAGGAAATCATCACAGATCTGAGCCCAGTGAAAGTGTTTTCTAGAATTCTCATCTTAGATGCTCCTTGGAGGTTGTGTGTGAATGTGTGTGTGTGTGTGTGTGTGTGTACATATACTTGTGTGTACACATATATACCTGGGTAAGGTCAACTTTGGGTGCCCTTTCTCAGGTACTATCCACTTTGCTTTTATTGAGATGGAGTCTCAAATTGGCTTGAAATGCATTGACTCAGCTCTACTGACTGTCCAGAGAGCCCCAGGGATCCACATGCCTCTGCCTCCCTGGCATTGGGATTGCAAGCAGCCACTACCATGTTCATAATGTGTGTGTGTGTGTGTGTGTGTGTGTGTGTGTGTGTGTGTGTGTGTATGTGTGTATGTGATCAAATTCAGGACTTCATACTGTGTAGCACACTTTTTAGTAAGTGAGGTAACTTCCTAGGCCCTATTTTTCAACTCACATTCCTGTCACGATGTTATGAAATGACCACTATTAGAAATTAGAAAGGACAAAAGCAAGGTTGTGTTTAAAGTGAGGATTAAAAATCGCCTCATGTTAGCAGATCTTTAGATGCCCAGATAAATACATCTTGTTTGCTGCATTCTGCCAAGGAGCTATGACTTTAAAAGCAGAAGAAGGAAATGGCCTTGAGGCAGCAGTTTAGAACCACCCCAAATTGTCCTGTCTTCCCTCATTACCCAGTACACGGGGCATGTCAACTTTGATGCCACAGGCCAGAGAGCTGTTCTTTCCAACGGGAGATAAACCAGATATCCATACAAATCAGATTGGTACCGTATGAAAACTAACTTTCTTACACTTTTGTCTTCTGATGCCCAGAAGCTGTAATTTGTGTTATCCTCAGGCATCCGTTTCTAGATCTTTCCTTAGTGTCCTTTGGCCCTCTCTAGAGGCACAGAGATGATAACAAATTATAATGTCTGGTCTTGTGAAATAGTCTAAATATGTGGTGTGCTACCTTTGTTAGAAGTTATCCAAAGGATTTTCTATGTTGTAATCTACAAAGTGCTTCTTAGTGTAAATGTACAAAAATCAACTTGTGGCATCCATGGTAGGAGGCAGACAGAAGGAAATAGAGAGGAAGCCTTTTTCTCTTTACAGTGTCTGAAAACCAGGGGCCTTGTGCCTGAACTTGTGTAATTCTGCTGGAGGTCTCGCTGGTATCATTTTCTTCTTTATGTGGGTTCATAGAATACAGGCATCTGGTGAAGAGTCACATTAAAGCAGGTCAAATTCAACAGATGTGCAAGGTTCTAACATTGGATCTTGAACAAACTATGGTCTTGTGACTTCGTTTATTGTACGAGATGCCACCTCCCCTTGGGCTCTAGCCTGCTCACCCCACCCCCATTGATGTTTGCCTTCTGATTGGTGTGCTATGGTAGCTTCAGCTATACACAGTCCTTACACACACACACACACACACACACACACACACACACACACACACACACACAAGACTGGAAATGGCTTAGTTGGTGAAGTGCTTTCTATGGAAGTGTAAGGACCAATTTTTATCCCTAAATAACATCCAGGCATGGCAGTATGTTCCTACAATCCCAGAAATGGGACACAGAGAGAGCTAGATTCCTGGAGGCTGATGGACAGCTAGCCTAGCCAAATTGACAAGCTCCAGGCATATGGTGTTGACCTCTGGCTTCCACATGCACATGTACTCTTGCACATGTGGACCTGAACTCACCTGTGCATATACTCTCACAGATATGTATATCTGCATGTAATCATGAACACACAGAGACACAATATCTCAAACCAAATAAAAGTAAATAAATGAAACAAAAACAAGCAAATAACAACTAAAGTACAAACCCTCAATTCACTTTTTAAAAGCATTTTAAATAATCAGTGAAAATTCCTGTTCAAATTAACTTGGCATTATGGATCCAGAGAAAGTACTAGAGTGGCAAAGGCTTCAGTCTGGCAAGTGGTCCATGAATCTGAAGGTATAATAGAGGCTCAAATATCCCTTATATTTAAAGACTTTACACTGTCCAGATGATTTTAAGGACACACAGCTCTTTGAGGTACATGGATGTTGTGGGATATTTGTACACTGTGTATTGCTGTGATTGGTGCAATAAAAAGCTGAACCGCCAACAGCTAGGCAGGAGGTATAGGAGGGATTTCTGGGGAAAGAAAGGAAGAGGAGGAGGAATCAAGGTGCTCAGGAGATTCCAGGAGACATGGAGAGGAAATAGGAGGTGCAAGATGGAAGAGAGGTAATGCCACATGATAGAACATAGATTAATAAAAATATGAGTTAATTTAAGTTATAAGAACTAGTGGGACAAGCCTAAGCTAAGGTTGAACTTTCTTAATTAATAATAAGTCTCCATGTCATTATTTGTGAGCTGTTGGCCCAAAGAAAAATCCGACTACTTGCGGAGATCAATTAATCTAGGAAGGTCTATAAATATAGCCCATTTATTAAACAAGTTGAGCTAAGAGAGATACACTCCATTTATCTGACTAAATGTAGTTATATTTTTGCCCTCGTTCCATTTCTATTGATGTGGTAAAATGCGCCGGCAGTAAGCAACTTAGGAGAGAAAGGGTTAATTTTAGCTCATGGGTCTAGGTTACACTCAAAAAGAGGAATATCAAGGTGGTAGAAACTTAAAACAACTAGTCACAAACCATTCAACATTAGGAGCAGAGAGAAACAAATGCATTTACGATCACCCAATTGCTTGCTGGCACTAAGCTCTATTATTCACTCTTATGCAGTCTAGGACCCCTGTCTAGAGAATGGTGCCACTCACAGTGGGCTGGGTCTTCCCACATAAGCTAATACTGGTAATCAAAACAATCCTCCACAGATATGCCCAGGGGCTACCCTAATGTAGACAATGCTTCATTGAGACTCTTTGTCCAGGTGATTCTAGGTTGTGTCAAGCTGACAGATAAAGGTAACTATCACAGTTATGCTGATGAAACAAAACTTCTCTGGCTTAAGGGATAGCCTGGGAAGTAAGGGAGGAGGGGAAGCCCCATCTTCTTAACCACTGTGCTATACATTGATCAAAGAGTCAGCTGTAAGGCACTCTAGTAAGTGTCAGGGTTCCAAGGATCATCATTTACAAACCACTGATTTAGTCAAAGCCTTTGATTTTTTTTTTTTAAGGTATCCCAGAGATACCTGAAACACACATAACTAACATTTGCATTGTGCTTCTAACTACTTTCTGTTCCTGTTTCAGGATCAACACTAAAGTTTCTGGGCATCTGTAAGAACCATCTCCACTCAGTCTGTGGAGACCTATAGCAGGGAAGTAAGAGGAACAGGCATTGGACGTTCAATTGGGAGAAGTTGAAGGGATTTCCCAGGAATAGAATTCTGGAGTTTCAGTGTTTATGTTGGGAAATGCAAAGAATGCAAAGAAAACTGCATGGCCTGGTCTATAGTCATCAGGAGAAACCATTGCATCATGACCTGAGTCATCTCAGTGCATCAGAGTTCAAGAGACTGTGAAAATCTCCAGGAAAAGGATCCAAGTGGAATAATGAATGCCAATGAAGTCATAGCTTGAACACTAGAGACATTCCCATCCCACCTATCTGTGCGCGCGCGTGCGCGCACACACATACATGCTCATGCAGGTATGCACATCAGGGGACAGGCTAAGGTGAACACTCAATTATCCTCAATTTTTTTTATGAAAACCAGGTGTGGTGGTTTGAAAGAAAATGGCTCCCAAAGCGAGTGGCACCATTAGGAGGTGTGGCTTTGTTGGAGTAGATATGGGCTTCATGGAGGAAGTGTGCCACTGGGGAGGTGGGCTTTGATGTCTCCTTTGCTCAAGCCACACTCAGTGTGGCAGACAATTCACTTCTAGTTGCCTGTGGATCGAGATGTAGAACTCTCAGCTCCCTTTCCAGTACCATGTCTGCCTATATGCCACCATATCCCACCATGATGATAATGGACCAAACCTCTGAAACTGTAAGTCACCTCAATTACATGTTTTCCTTTATAAGAGTTGCTGTGGTTATGGTATCTCTTCACATAAATATAAACCCTGTCTTAACACCAGGTCTCTCATGGGCATGGCATTTTGCCAAGCTCATGGCCATTGAGCTCCAGGTTTCTGTTTGATTTGCCTTCCTGGTGCTGGAATCACAGGCTACCACATCTGGTTACTTATGTGGGTTCTGGGGATGAAAACTGAATCTCACTCTGTAGACCAGGCTGGCTCCAAACTCACAGAGATCCACCTGCCTCTGCCTCCTGAGTGCTGTAATAAAAGGTGTGCCTTCACACTTGAAGGCAAATGCTTTAGTGACGGAACCACCCCCACCTCAGTCCAGAGCTGGAGTGTTTTTCAGCATTAACCTGGAAGGTTACAATGTTACATTAATTTGAAGACTACCTGGGGAGGAAATTTCTGTAAACAATTGTAACATGACTAATAAGAGAACTGTTGCAGTTGATCACAGTTTCATCATTTTGATTAGAGTCTTCCTCAGAGGGTCTTGAAATCTGGCATCTCAGCCACCAGTTTCCTGAATCAAACCACCCTGATCCTTCCTGTCTCCCTCATGTTCTCCAGTCAGTGTTTTTTGAGTGTTCTTCAGAATACTACCACATAATGCATGCTGTTTGTGTTAGGGGTCTTGTTCGGGCTATCTACCACTCCAGGGGCAGGCCCCTCTTTTATGAATAAGAAGTCACATAGGAAAGATTTTGGAGTGGTGACCGCTGTGTCTCCATGATGGATCACAGTGGACACAGAATGGATTTGTCTGTAGTGTTTCTATTAAACAGTGGGAGCCAAAGGACACATGATTCATCTTCTCTAAACTATCAGAAAGTCGGTGTTGAATGACACAGATAAATTCTGGGGACAGAAAGAACGACGGCAAAGTGAGAACAGCAAGGGCTATTCGGTATGAGCCATTTGCTTTTTAAGCAATGAGGCCATTTGTCTCCATCCACCAATGTATCTATTGATCTATTATTCCCCTCTGGAGAAAGAGATAAGCACTAACCCATGTACAGTGGGAGAGGGACCACAGCCACACAAAGTACTTGCCTGCTCTGGCAGGTGCACTGACCCAAGAGCTTCTCCTAAGGTTTGAGAAGCAGAATGACTAGCAAGCCCAGGGATGTCTCTGCAGTTTATACTATTTGCTGAGCTGTAGACTGTCACTGCCCAAACACAGCCACGCAGAAAGCCCTTACTGAAATGTGCCCATCTGTGGAGAAGCTATTACTCTTGAAATTTGTTAGCATCCATTTTTTCCTTCATAACACAGCTGCGTTTGACTTTTCACAATAAAGGTATTTTGAAATATCACAGGCATGATGTAAAAAGCATGGACGTGAATAGAGCAGAGGCAGTCTTCTTCCTTCCTAGCATTAACAAGTCTTGGGAGTCTATCCTTTTCCTCTGTGGGAAAGGCTGTCTTACTGGAATAGTTGCTGCGTGTATTTTCTTATCTTATTCCACCCCATTCCTTCCTCATGTTTCTCTTTCTCCTTCCCCCATCTTCCTCCCCTTCCTCTTCATCTCTTGCTCTTTCTCCTCTTTTTCCTTCCACCTCTCCTCTTGTTCTTCCTCTTCCTCCTTCTCCAACTTCTTTCTTGCAATAGGATGTCTTTGCCTAATTTTTCTACACTGGATTCATATATACTTTATATTTTGCCAGCCTACCTATGTATCTATATACCCATTCTCTAAATAATTCAATGTTATAACTACTTTAAAAGTGTAGGTGATTATGTGAGCCATTCAGTAATTTAGGTTTTTGTTTAATATTGTGCTTTTGATAGCTGACTAATTGCAAATATACAAGATTTGTTATATTTAATTAATACTAATACACAAAGATACTGATTTGGTCATCCCACAACTAAACAAATCACAGCATTAAGTGGCATTAATACCAATTGTTTAGCTGAAAGTTCTTTTCTATTTGTTACAGAAGAAAATTGCAAATGCTCATGGCTCCAGTCACATCAGGAGGGAAGGCACATACTAAGAAGGCTGTAGCTACTAAGCCAGGAATGGAAAAACTAAAATGTGATGTGAGGGAGTCATCCTGGAATGAAAAGAAAAGCAGAGAGAGGGGAAATAAATACAAGGGGTGTGGGGGGGGGAGGAAAATACAAGAAACATAGAGAAGATCCAACTTCAAGAAACAAACAAAACCTAAGAGAAACATGGGAAAACTTAGAAAAAGAGAAAGGTGGTGAAGAAGGAGGTGAGGGGGGATGAAAGTGGGTGGAGAGGAGAGTGAAGAAGAGGCTGCCCTGGTGCCAGTGTGTGGTGAGGGCACAGCACACACTGAGAACACAGCACACAGTGAGGACACAGCACACAGTGAGCACACAGCACACAGTGAGCACACAGCACACACTGAGGACACAGCACACACTGAGGACACAGCACACACTGAGGACACAGCACACAGTGAGCACACAACACACAGTGAGGACACAGCACACACTGAGGACACAGCACACAGTGAGGACACAGCACACACTGAGGACACAGCACACAGTGAGGACACAGCACACAGTGAGGACACAGCACACAGTGAGGACACAGCACACACTGAGGACACAGCACACAGTGAGGACACAGCACACAGTGAGGACACAGCACACAGTGAGGACACAGCACACACTGAGGACACAGCATACACTGAGGACACAGCACACAGTGAGCACACACAGCACACACTGAGGACACAGCACACAGTGAGGACACAGCACACAGTGAGGACACAGCACACAGTGAGGACACAGCACACAGTGAGCACACAGCACACACTGAGCACACAGCACACAGTGAGGACACAGCACACACTGAGGACACAGCACACACTGAGGACACACACAGCACACAGTGAGCACACAGCACACAGTGAGGACACAGCACACACTGAGAACACAGTACACACTGAGGACACAGCACACAGTGAGGACACAGCACACACTGAGGACACAGCACACACTGAGGACACAGCACACAGTGAGCACACACACAGCACACAGTGAGCACACAGCACACAGTGAGGACACAGCACACAGTGAGGACACAGCACACAGTACATAGTGAGGACACAGCACACACTGAGGACATCAGCACACCTCTCTCTGATTAGACTGAAAATCAATTTGGTACTGAGCCCTGTTTGAGTGTTTTTCTGAGTGTCTCTGTCCACGCAGTCTGTCACGCTGCTTCTGGGAGTCCACCTGCTGAAGCTCCATTTCTCTCCCAGCATTTGTTCTCTAAATATTCTGGATTTTCTTTTTTCTTTTCTCTGCAACTATAAGTTTAGCATCTGTTTTCTGCAGCTTTCAGATGCCCACCACCACTTAGATCCTGCCTCTGCCAAGCCACTATGTGCTTCGTGGCTTGTGGTGGTCTTTTCCTCTCCAAATCGCCTTTCTCATCCCCTTCACCTCCTTTCCATTCCTTCTCTTCTTCTCTATATCCCCCTCCTCCTCTCCCTCTTCTTTTTCCTCTTCCCCTTTGTCTTCTTTCCCCTTCTTTTTAAGGCCGATTTGTCTAAGACTAAAACTCCAGTTCCTTTCCAGAGTGACCTACCTCGAAGGGCAACTGCTCCTCAGCTGCTCTAGTTTTCTCCCCTAGGAGGTGCCAGATGTTGGTGAGTGCCACTTCGTCCACTCTCTTTTTTGAATTCTTCATCAGGCATTCCATCCCTTTCAGTTTCTTTAGAATCTGCAAAGAGAGAGTAGGCATCTTGTGGAGGTTTCATATTACCTTGTGTCTACACTGAGCTTTATACATCTGGTGAAGTGGATACCTACCACTCTTATGGGTTAGTGTTCTTAGTAAATGACTTTCTCCTAAAGTGGAATCTTGAGTACTGATTTATAATGTAATATTGGCTCCATTTATGCCTGACCACTATGTTTTTTTTTCTACCAGTGGCTTCACTGGCTATGGCTAGTGAGTTTGGGTTTGTTCATAATATGTTGGAGATGGAGAGACCTGCCCTCTCTGTGAGTTATGCAAGAATAGGGACATTGTAGTGTTTCAGGGACATGCGGTGGAGACAGCAAGAGTATGAAAAGAGAACAGCGTGTGTATACTTCTATTTTGAGAGTGCTTGCCTCCACTGGCTGATAGGATGCCTCTGGGGACTGTAGTTATTGACTCTTATTTGTTTGAGTCTCTGATACTTGCTATTCCAGTACTGATGAGGAACCTGAAACAGTTACTTTCTTACTGGTTAGTGGTCCTTGCCAAGGTCTTTCATGAACAGATGTGGTAGCAAGAGCCATAATATCCCTTCTGTGGCACTCAGAACTAGTCCTAACAGTATAAGACCACCCAGATTGGGAGCATATTGGAGGCAAAATGCATGAACTGTGTACATTGAGAGGCATCAGTAATTTGGGTGGGTGT